GGTTAGTTGTATACAAACTAGGTTAGTAATATACCCAAACCAAACCTATACCTAGCACGTGCTACCCTACCTATACCTATACCCAGTCACGTGCTCCCCTCCCCTACCTATGGTCCGTGTAACCCTACCCTACCTATACCTATGGTCCGTGCGACCCTCCCCTACCTATACCTACGTCCGTGCGACCTATACCCTACCTATACCCTACCCTAGGTACATGGTACCCATCCGCCAGTCTATCAATAGGTATGCTCGCTAGGTACCCCCACTTTTTTAACATTTTCTAGCCTCTAGCTTGTGCAGTTTAATAGTTATAACAAAACCTTCTACTACAAAAATGTAGAGGTGGTTTTTCTCTTTCTTTTCAGCCCTAGTTCGCTAGAATCCATGTATTATTGATAAGGTTTTGGGGGGTACCCACGAAGGACGTTGGAGTATACCCATTCCGCCAGCCTATGCCATGCTGAATCTGCTTTTGCTTGCGCAACTTCCTCCTACTTATAACTGCTAATTGCTCTCTAAGCTTAGTAATGCAAGCAGCTTAAAGCGCGTTTTAGTGCAGCATAAATTCACTACCTTTAATAAGCTAAGAGAAGCCAGCCTAAGCTATAACTAGTAACTAGGTAAAGGAGTTATATATAAGCTTTAACTAAGATCTAAACTTGTGTATATTGCTTAGAGTCCTTAACTGCCACAGTGTCTCTAGTAGAGGGGGTGCTAGTAGGGTACAGTGCTGCACCTTAAGGCAATCTAACACTACCTGCGTGTTAGTAGGGACTAGCCCTAATGCCTTAAAGGCCTTCTAACAGTTAGCCTTTGTAAATATATTAAGAAACACATCTCTAAAGGCTAGAAGGAATCCTTCCTTATTAATGTAGAAGACGTGTCAGCGTGCTAAGTCCTAGATGTATTAGGAGTACTTGCGCTTTAACAGTAAGAAACAGACTATGTTAAGTAGCTAGAGGATGTGTAATAAGTAAGCTAGCATATAAAGAGTAAGGATTTTGTTCTCTAGGCAGTAGTCCTTAAAATTCTAGTTAAGGTAGCTCTTATAGCTGTCTAAGATAAGTAGCCTATAGCCCCCTACCTAACGCGCTCTTATATACGCGTTAAAATGCTTTAACTACTTAAGGCTAAGTGTGTTATTTGTCTAGCTATTCTTAGAGACAGAGAGCTTCTAATTGTGCAGGATATCTATCTCCTTGTACTAGGCAGAGATGTAGATGCGTCCTTTGTAGATAATAAAAGGCAGGGTTATGTAACAGAGTAGGCGCCCTGCCCTCGAAATTAATACTACGTGACTTCTCTGCCTATACCAAAAGGTAAGCACAAGAATACTTAAGCAAGTATTC